CTAGGCAGATATGGAGAAGGAATTCAGCTTCAGGAAGGATTGAGTCATGGGCCTGATCTTGGTTTGGAAAAAAAAAAATAAAAAAAGTAAACACACAAGGTTCACGTCCTGATAATGACTTCAGATCATCTGCCGCCAGTGCCAAGGGGGGATAAAGGAAATAGGAGCAATATAAAATAACAACGGTCACCCGGAACTTCTGGATGAGCTGAGGGGCTTTGTAAAGCATGTAATAAACGACCAATTAAACTAATAATAATATCTCAATCATGTAGCAGGAATGTGATTTATCCTCCAACCATATGAGGGAATAATTATTATTATATTTTAATTGAGATGGAGTTCGCTCTTGTTGCCCTGGCTGGAGTGCAATGTGCAATCATTGGCTCACTGCCACTCTGCCTCACAGGTTCAAGCAATTCTCCTGCCTCAGCCTCCTAAGTAACTGGACCACAGGCATGCACCATCAACACTGGCTAATTTTTTTTTTTTTTGTATTTAGTAAAGACGGGGTTCTCCATGTTGGTCAGGCTGGTCTCAAACTACTGACCTCAGGTGATCCACCTGCCTCAAGCCTCCCAAAGTGCGGGATACGGGCATGAGCCACTGCCCCCAGTCAGGAATAATATTATTATCCCATTTTTTCAGATGAGGACCCCAAAAGGCACAGAGAAGTTAAATAACTTTCCCAACTAACCGGTTAGCAAATGGCTACTGGGAGTCATATAAGTAGAAGAAACAGAGGATTCTTCTGGGAAAACCAAGGAGATGGCCTCATTGAGCCAGAGAGCCCGACAAAGACACAAATGAAAATATTGGTCCCAGTAATGAGAAGAAAATCTTTCCTTGAATAAAATGTAAGAGAAACTAATCATATTGTCAACTCATTAATTAAAATAACATTGATGATAACTGTGAGATATAGCCTTCAAAAGATATTTAAGTATTTGGATGACAGCTTTATAATGAAACTCCAATCTCCATTTAATTATTTAGTACAGTTCTTACTGCTATTTGTAGAAATTTCTAATTTCTACAAAATTAGAAATAGCATTTTCATTGAATTTGGTTCATTTGTCAAAGTTAGAACCTTCATCCACAAGTAATTTAATTAATGGACAATGAAAGAAGCTCCATTTATCTTATTAAATGTATTTTCATTTAAGATTTTTACTTTTTAATGATTTTCAAAATTTGGAATATATTTATGTCCTTTGGGCAAATTGTGATAATTTGTAATTTTAATTTAATTCCAAAAAAAAGTTAATACTTGGAGGATTTTTTTTTTTTTTTTTTGATAATGAGTCTCACTCTGTTGCCCAGGCTGGAGTACAGTGACACAATCTCTGCTCACTGCAACCTCTGCTTCCCAAGTTCAAGTGATTCTCCTGCCTCAGTCTCCCGAGCAGCTGGGATTACAGGCATGCACCACCACGCCTGGCTAATTTTTGTATTTTTAGTAGAGACGGGGTTTTACCATGTGGACCAGGCTGGTCTCGAACAGCTGACCTCAGGTGATCCACCTGCCTTGGCCTCCCAAAGTGCTGGGATTACAGGCGTGAGCCACTGCGCCTGGCCTACATTCTTAAATAAGAATTAAATATACGTATTTTTGTTTCACATTTGTGTGATAGTAATCAATAAAATAACTTAAAATATAAGACTTGCTGTATCAGGATAAAAATGTTTGAAGCAAGTGGAATAGAAATATGAATAAGAAGAAATAGAAATAATATAAAATTTCTGGCTGTTAAAAATGGTTAAAGTTGGATTGTTTTTCATTATTTTAAAATATGATGTTGAGTACCAAATTCCTATAATATTTTGATTTCATTGCTGTCATTTATAAAGAGATGTAACTATGTTATATTAAAAGTTTGAAATTGATATTATACTGAAAGTTATATGCTTTGCAACTATGGAAACATATAATAAGAAAGTTAGTTTTTAACTTAAAAATGATTTAGTGGCTACATAACTTTTCAAAATTCTCTTTGAAGTACTTGAGTGACAAAGGTTGGAATCTACTTTTCAAGCTCATGGGTGATATTCAATGGATAATCCTTGCTCCAGAGAACCAAGGCAATGAAGAGTGAGTTGGTGGAGGTGGATGGTAAGTATATAGGGATTTCTGGGTTCTGTTTCTACCTCACTTCTGGGTTTGTGTCCTGGGAAGGTACAAGATCTCTGAGGGGCAAACAACACAGACGTATCTTGGTGGTTTTAGGCCGGAGAGGCTCAAATTGTCTCCCAGAATGGTGCAGGAATAACAGAAAAATTCCTATTCCTCTAAAGCATGTTTGGACATAGTGGAAAGCTCACTTGCCCTGAATGGGCTTTGCATTAGAAATAAGAGACAGCATAGAAGACCTTCGTGAACTGGTAACAAAGTTAAATAGAAAAACTGATGTTATCATAGACGTCAATATGCAATATGGATAAATGACATGAAATATCAACTGAACTATGTAGATGCAATCTGATGAAAAAAGAGAAAAATGCTCAAATGAAAAAAATGGTTTTGCTCTCCTGATTAAAAAATAATAGCATACGCTGGAAGAACTCCACGTATTTTATTCTCACAACACAACTACCACATGGGATAGATACTATCATAATTCCAATTTTAGAGAAAGTGACAATTCATCAAGAGGGATTAAATAACTGCTCCAGTTTATATCACTTATAAGTGGAGAAGCTGGAATGGGAACTTGAAGCAGAAATTGGGGCTCATTTTGGAATAATGAATACACTGAATATAGCTGGTGTGTGGATTTGTGGGTATGTAATCTGTATATATATATACACATACATATGTGTACATAAAAACATCACTGGGATTCTGCTGAATGTGCCAGGCTGGTGGGGCTTGGGTAGCATCTCCTTCATTTTATTGTTTTCTGTGGTCTGCTTTTCCTACACGAGACAAGCTGTCAATACAGAACTACAGCTTACAACACTTCCAGTTCACATCAACTCAAAGGAAGGTAATTTACAGGTATAATTTCTCTGTTTGACTATTCATGATTTGACAGAGAAGTAAAGATGAATACAGTTTATCCCCAGAATCAGTAATAAAGGAAAGAGTTAAAACATATAACTTTTCTTATTTTGAAAAGTCCTAAGAAAGTGAGAAATTCCTTTTATCTCATGAGCCAAGGATAATTTGTATACTGAAAAATATCCAGAGGAACAATAGGAATGACCTTTTTCATAATTCTATCATATATTCATTCTGCCTTGCAGAAATAATTTTGTTTATGATATCATAAAGTACTTGGGTAACTTTTTTTCTGTGAATAATTCAGAGAATTTAAAAAAACACTAAAGGAATAGAACTTCACCCTGCTTTTGTACTTGGAGGTTGAGAGGTATACCTCACATAAACAGTTTTAATGTGTTTGTTATAATGTCATTCTTTAATAGCACTTTATGTAAGTAACACTCAAGCATGGCAACATAATAGCCCTGAGAAATACACAATTTAAACTATGTGGAAAGTAGTATTTTATGAGGTGAATAGACAAATACATTAGAGTCACTAGAATGAAGATGGCATTTTTTTTTTTTTTTAAATCTTGGAGCTGGTTCTTCCAACTCTCATACCTGTGTACTATGAAGGTAACATTGTTAGGAAACCATAAAAATTAAAATGTATACCAGAGGTCCCTTAAGAAAAACAACTTATTGACAATGAATTTCACCAATTGGCATGCATGCCAGTAGAATTCGTTGTGGTTTTAATTTTGCGGAGGGGCCTGCATTCTTGTGCAAAAGGTGGTTAGCTAAAAGGTTACTAGGATAAACTCTTAAAAAAAAAAAATTCCACAGTAATCTGCAGCTTTGTCATCACGCATGGAATTCAATAAAATTCTCAATGTCTCTGGTTAAATAAACATTTTTTCTTACTTAGTCTGCTTATTTTTTTGTCTAGACTAAAGCTTTTTAACAGGCTGCAAAACAAGCTGAATGTTTCTCTTGACTTTAGCTAGCAGAATACACGTAGGAAACTGTTACCATTTTCTTAAAAATTTTCACTTAGGTAAAAGACATAAATCAGCAGTACATTAAAATTATAAGAAACACATCAAATATTTTAAAACTCAAGTTAAGTTGAACCATAAGCAAGGGAGATACTGAGAAATAATGAAGCAATTAGTGAGTAGTGCAGAATTGTTAAGTTGGAAGACCTGTTAAGACAACTTTTAATTTTTGTGGTTTTTTTCTTCACTGACATTATAAAAGATTGAAAGCCCAGAGGTAGAAGAAAGCTGTAATAGGTCTGCCATTCAAATGTGTTAACTGGATTATGAGTTAATCTGTGGTTTCTTTCCTCTAATTTATTAAAGGCTCATTTTACCTGATAAGGTGTTACCTAACCCAATGACTGCAGTTTCCCCACTTAGATCATTGGTATTTAACTTGCCATAGAATACAACTGAAACATTCCTTCTTGTTCTAGCAAAATGATGCCTTCTAAATAAGGCAACGTTAAGCCATTTATTGAATACTTACCATGTAAAATGTTCTGTCCTAATGCTTTACTGGTATGAACTTGTATAGGAAAGGAAGGCAGAATTTTAAAACTTTCCCAGAATAAGACAGTTAGTCTGGATTCAAATGCAAGCAATCTGGCTCCAAAGATTGTGCATTCCTAAACTGTGTATTTTTTCCAACGTAGACACAACATACTCTGAATAAGTATCTATAGATGTGTATGGATGTACAATATTGGGAGAAAACAAATACGTATTTGTTTGGAAGTATACACAGAAAATGGATGATATTGGATGTCTTTTGGGTTGGGATTCGAATAAATGAGGGCTATTGGTACTGGGAGAGCTTTATATGTGCATCTTTCTGCAATTTAAATCTTGAAATAGATGTATTACCTTCACAAAAATGGATAAAGGAATATTTAAAAATCATATGAATTCAGTAGATTGTATCATGCTAACAAGTAAGTTAATCCTACATTAAAAATAAAAGCTAGAAATATAGTTGGGGAATTCAACACGTTTTATTTTGCCAGGCCAATGATTTCATCAATATCCAATTAAATTTTAGTGTGACAACTACATTTAGTTTGTTTTCTTACACAGATTGAACATTCACCATTATGACAGTTTCATCATGCTAAAATCTATTCACAAACTTACACTTTGGAAAAAAGTGTATTTCTAGAAAATTTTATGTACAATACAAATGGAAAAGATATTAAGTCCTGAATTGTCAAACTACACAAAACAAAACCAATCAACCACCAGTAGTATACATTAACAACATTTTTGAAAAAAAATTTCTTTTACATTCAGCAGAGTTATGTTCATGAAGAATTTCTACATTTTTAAAAGTAATGAAAGTATACACAATTTAATAATTGTGATAATATAAAGAATTAAATAGCACAAATATAGTATAAAACTAAACACCCTTACTGTCTATCAATTTGGGCTTATGTGAAACAAAGGGAACTGTGACTCTGAAACAATTTTACTTTTAACTTTGGACATAGAATAGATTGGCCATAAACACAGAAGATGGTTTTGGCTTTACACTGACACATTTCTATGTGTCAATGTAGAGGAGAAAAGTTTAATTATACCTTTTAAGCAGGCAAACCATTATAATAAACTGCGTTAGAAATTACTTTAAAATTATACACATTTGGAACAACAGATTTTTTTAAAAATGAAGTTTGGTGTTATGTTATGCATTTTAACTATTTTTGCCATATCGAGGCCTCCTCATATATTATCATAATTTATGATAACTTAAATAGTGAATCATATTCTGATATTCTGACTAATAATCATATTCATTTTGACAATGACTTTAGTTTTTGAAGTTTTATACTGCAATACTTAAAAAGGCCATAATCTACTTTAATTACCTTCATCATAGATTATTAACTATAAATAAAATTTTTATACAAGATTTGGATTAGGTACATGGTACAATATCTGTCTTTACCTGGAAGCATGAAAATATCTTAAAAGGTAAATAAAAAAGCAAAAGTAGTGTTTTTTAAATATATATGAGAACATGAATAATTTTTTTCACATTTTTCCATCTAATTTTTATTTGGAGAAAATAATTTCAGTATGAAATTTTTCTAATAAAATTATTCAAACATACAATTGGGAGATAATTATTTTATTCATCACAAAACTTACTACATTTACACTTAGAGACCAGTGAACATAGTACCATTACCTTTTGAAAGAAAGAATGTCTCTTCATACTGTTTTCTTACTTTCTAGACATAACAAGCACCTTGCCATCACACCAAAAAGATCATAAAATATATAGTGTTGACTTAAAAATCAGTGTGATATCTGAGACTGGTTTTAATAAAAGGGAGAATTAATCATTGAATTTGAGTACTGAAGTTGAAAACTAGCCACATTTGTTATAAATTCCTCTTTAAAAATTAGTAGTTTCTACTTTGATTTTTCTTTTTGATGATTTCACCCGTTATTTAGAAGTCTAATACTTCAAAGATTTTTCCTTCTTATATTTTTTAATTTGCCACACAGACTAGGAAATAAGAGAACAAACAGTAATAACTGAACAGTGCAAGATTATATTCTTTGAGTCTAAAATAAATTAAATAACTTCCAAAAAAAGTAAGTGCTTTTGTTTGGAAGGTGATAACATAAGAATATAAGCCGAACTGCTTCACTGATATAACTCCCATCAAGTATCTTCATGGGGCAGGTTACTGATTTTTATCTTCCTGAATAAGGAAACAAAGGTCAATGACAGATACCAGTAACTGATTATTTCTACAATCTTAAAAAAAAAAAAAAAATTTCATTGGAACCATATAAACTCATCATTTTCTCTTTATGAATAACTCATGTTTTCACATAACTGTAAATGCCTTCTTCCTTTTATATTTCTTTTGATAGCCATTCTGTCATATGCATTTACACTTTTACTATGTAAAAGCTGTGGATTTGGAACTTGTTTTCATATATAAGATCACTGACAATTAGAATTCTAAAGCCCCAGAGCAGGAAAGGAATACCACAGGGATATGGCCCTCATTCAATTGAGGGATGCAACAATTCTAGTTTTGTAGCTACCCTATCGATTTTGAAGAAAAGGTGAATAAAGATATAAATAAAATCTGGGTTAAGTTAAATATTTATATGCACCATGAGGACCATGACATGTCTAGTGCTAGTCACTATCATACAAGAAAATGCATGCTCATTTCAGTTCATGTAAAACTCACTTTAGGAGTAATTACCTTTTTCAGTAATTCCCATTGGTAAAGCACAAGTTTCTTTGCTCAAAATCTGATCATTGAAGACAGAGCATTTGTTAATGGAAGCATAAGACCCACATAAGAAAATATTATGACTCTGGCAACTGATTCCTCCTGTTTCTACTTTTCCGGCTATTGATGAGGGCCTTTAACTTGCCATAGTCCCCTCTCATTTTCTGTGACTCGTCTCCCTGCTGATGTTGCTGCCGAGTGTCTTTGCAGTATTGGTTAATCATCTGCATTTCTGAGTGGCTGAATGCTCCCATGATGTCCTTCGGGTGGAAGGGTAAAGCCCTCACAGAGCTGGCCCAGGTCCATGGGGACCATTTGTCTGTCACAACGGCCACCATTTCTGAATCTAAAACTTTGAAGTTGATCTTGGCTATGGTCTGCTTGAAACTATTTTCTGTAGCAATGCAGTGATAAAGTCCTTGGTCAGAACCCTGAACAGAGCGGATCAGGAGTCCCTGTGAAGTGGCTATGATTCGTTCATTCAGCTTAACCTAAAAGAGAGACACATTAAAGTTACTGAAACTGAACATTACATTTCCTTAGATTATGACCAACATATACAGAATAGTGTCAACTTTCACAGATTTGGGAAAAAAGTATTGATTACTACTTAGCATCTTTCTCAGTGGACACGAAATTTTGGTCAGTTCCACTGCCTTTAAGAAAAAAAAAAAAAAAAAACCACACAGGAGATCTTGTCACACTGTCACAGGGGTATTGAATCTAATAAAGAGAGGGTGAAGATATTATCCATATTGGCAAAAATAGCTTAAAGTGCTTTCCCCTGGATAGAAGTTTCTCCATATATAAGCACAAAATTGTGGTTGCCTTTGAAATTAGAATCACAGTCCATATATGTAAATGAAACTCACAGATACTTTAAAATATCTGGTGTTCTAGTCTTTTATATTTATAAAACGTACTCACTAGTAAAAACATGAAGCCACAATTAAAGGGTGAATTTTATCTTTTTGTTTCAATGAATGAATGTTCTTCTAAATAAAAAATACGTAAGCAGAGGCAGAATTTTGAACATTATCAAGGGCCTTTTTCAATTATCCCCAAATAAACAATGTCTAAAAATTAGCTGGGATGTCATCATCTTTTAAGTCCTGTAAATGGTTTTACTTTACAAGGAAAGGTAATAAAAAGCTATGAATTAGTATTTAATTGCTTTATAGATTTTACTGGAAAAATGATTGTTTACTGGGTATCAGTAAATGCCTGAAACCTTCCTTACAGTTCCACCTGTAGTATTGCCAATGAATAGATAAAAACGTAAGTGGTAAGAGGTTCTTTGACACGTATACTCAAGAATACTCTTTCATTGAAGAAAAAACAAATTTGATCAAAATCAAAATTAGATAATGCATGTTAAATGTTTTCCTAAATGATAAAGTTCTGTGCAAACGGACAAGATATGACTAATAATATCTGAATCAAAGATCAATTGGTTTGTGCACACACACAAAAAAAAACCACAAAAAGGCAAGTATAGTATTAAAAGACAGATAATAGAACAGAACTAGAAAAGAGAGAGTCACTTAGAGGAAGAAAAAATTTTGACATTAATTAATTTTACTAAGTTTAAATGTCCCTCAAAAACAAATCATGTATAAATACATTCAGAAATTAAAGAAAAAAGAAATGTTATCCTATTTGTGCAAAATTGGGAAAATATTTTGAGTCCAATATGGTAAATCCATTAAACATGTATATAATATTTGGCACAATTACATTTTAGGAATTTATCTAGAATATATACTCTCACATGTGTGCAGGTGTTTTTGATAAGAGGAAAACAAGAAATTATCTAACAAATAGATGGCTTTGAAAAAAAAAACACAGTATATTCACACGATGGAATATTATGCAGTCAGGAAATATGACATTGAATCACATGTACTGATACTCAAGTGGGGGTCTGCGTGTGTGTGTGTGTGTGTGTGTGTGAGTGTTGTGTGTGTGTAGGGGAGGAAAACTATGGAACGTATTTGGAGAAATATATAAGTCTTGGGAATCTTACTCCGGACAGTGGGAATAAGAACTGAGTAATTATTATTCCATAAGTATTAGTATTATTCATAAGTATTAGTATTATTCAATAGATATTAAAAGTGATAAGTATTGAAGTGGAGGAGGGCTTTCAGTTTTCAGTTTATGCTACTTAGTATGAACTATTTGCCTTTGCTCTGTGAGCTTTTATCATTTGTCTTACTTAAAAAAATGATTAATGTTTACACAGTAATATGAGTGAGAAGCATATGTTTTCTTAAAATAGAAAGGATCACAATAAGTTTAATAAAATATTAATAGTTTAAGAATAAGTAAAATTGTGCTCTGCTTAAATTCTGAACAAAACAGACTTTCATACTTGTGTTAGAGCTAATGTTATTGCAATGTTAAATTATTAAATTCTTATGTTTTTGAGATTGGGAAAGAAAGTCAAATAGTAATATTTGAGTCTCCATATTCTTGAGCATTCTGAAATAGAACTTTGGAAATATTATTAGAGGGAATAAATCCTTAACATTCCATTTACATTTTACTATTAATTTATATGGCAGATATTCAAATATATATATTTATTTTAAATCATAGATGTTATATTCACTTATATATTATTCTACTGAACTTTTTACTGAAGAAAAGAAAATTACTTTTTAGTTGATCCTTGTTTCAGTATTACCCAATTCACATATATACCTATAGGCTTTTTCTGGAAGGACTGTTCATATCCTTGTGTTCCTGCCCTGGCCTAACAGCTCACTTGTGTATAGTAATCATCATCACACATTATGACTTCTAACCCAGGTTACTCTGCAAGCTAATTATTATAATCCATATCCATTCAAAATAGTTGAAAATTAATTTGACTGCAGAAATGTCAAGACTTCTTTGATAACAGATTTTACAGCAAAAAAAAGAGATCTCAATAATTTTCATTATTAAAATCTTTCTAAAAGTATTGTTAGCATGATAGGCTTTGGAAGAGTGATGGGACTCTGATGTCCAACTAGCTCATCTTTCCTCCAGATAATTCAATTTCCTCCTGCAAGTAGTCATCTGCTTATGGTGTAATATTCCAGTAATGAGGGACACATAATTTCCGAAACAGTTCATAAGATATTTGGGTAGACAAGTCTGAGAGTCGGAAAGTATTTTGCATATGAAACCAACATTTATATCAGTAATGTTGATGCAGTATCTGTGTTCTACAGCTTAAGGCGGTACTCAGTCTACATACCCTTAATTAACTTAATATGTAGTAACCAAATTGCCCACAACAGAAGAATACACATAAATGCAGAAGGCTCCACTTCCCCCTTGGCTCCATCAGACTTTATGATGCACAAATGATGGTATGTTTTAGACCTCCCTAAGGCTTTAAATATACATATATATTTTTATCATCTCATTTGTCAGGACAACATGACATCAATATTACGAAATTCATTATTTACAATATATCACCCTATGCCATTTTACAATGTCTCCCTTATTTCAAAAAACCCAGCTCTTTCCAATCCATGAAAAGTTTCAGTAAGCGTGTTTTTATTTGAAAATCTAAGGACTTTTTCCATATCACTAAATAAAGGCAATGGTCTCATAAACAATGATTCCATATATTACCTAACCAAAGCACAAGAGTTATGAATAATAAAGCAATGGAAACAGATTACCACAGAGCAGAAAAAACGCTCTTTGTCATGAAGGTTATAGTTCAGTGTACTTTCTTGCTGAGGAAAATTAAACTTTTTTTAAAAAGCCCCCTTTTATCTTGTGAATCACACAAAGGTGCTGTTGTGTGAAAACTTGGCTTCTGGATTTGCACACATCTTGTTTCTTTTAGGAATGTTTCCTCACATCAATACCACTGTCTTAGTGCCCAGGCTCTTGTTTCAATCACCATGTTACAGAGGTGAGCAGGCAGAGAGAATTTCTAATTAACCCATCAATTCTTAGGACAAAGGATCTTAAGGAAAGTGGCACTTGTCATCCCAAAGACATAAAAGATGATCATATGCCTTTCCTTTTTCCTTAGATCTGAGCCTCACCGAGGGACGTTGATTTAATGTTCTCTCCGAAGCCCTGATGGATTGCTGCTGTGCTGCTTTACTCACCTCTTTCCTCCTGTCTTTGTCTTTCTGTAACAGCCACTTGATAGATGCCTGCGGAGACTTGGGGGCACACTCCAGAAAAGTGGTGTTATTTTTTACTCCATACTGGACAATTTCAGCTGCATTTCTGTATGCTAGCAGGCAAAAATAAAAGGCGAGAAAGAAAGAACACAACTGAATTTAGAGCACATTCTCCTGTAAAAATGCTATATACATGTTTATTTTTATACAAAATTGTGAACAACTATGGCAGCCAGTAAAAAGCAGTGATAATCATTTAACAAGCAAAGTAGGATACGTTGTTTACTTGTTTTGTTTATGTAAAGGGAAGGAGAGACTGTGAATTAAGGTAATGTTGATAAAATCATGTTTATTCAAGAATTACTCTACACCAAGGATTGTTGTTAATATTACTTTGTTAACTTAATTATTACAATACTCCTGCCACATTTTCTCAGCTTTTCACAGCTGAGCAAACTGAGGCTGTGAGTTATGAGGAAATACACTTTAGTGAATGTATCAGGCAATACCGAAGCCAGGTCTATCCCATTCCTAAAGTCCATACTCAGTGTCATATAGAGGAAACAGGTAAGCACTGGGAAAGGGCAGAAAGAAAGCTGTGGCCTTGGTGGAATGCAGTGATTGAGAACACTGTCTTCAGAATCAGTGGAACGTAGGGTAAAATCCTGACCTTACCACTACCGGCTGTGTCAACTTAGACAAGTTACTTGATGTCTCTGTGCTTTAGTTTTACTCATCTCTAAAACATGGATTATAGCATTTTTACATAGGGTTCTCAGTAAAAGTATTAAATTAGGCAAAACATTTAGTATTGCCATATGGTAGCTTAGACGTGGACAGAATCCTCACTAATAAAGCAGGAATAATAGGACTCTAGTATGGTGTTTTTTAAGCATTGAGTGAAATAATCATTAAAAAACACTGAGCTCAGGTTCTGACACAAAGTCAGCATTAATATTTGTTTGATGTTACCTCCACTGCCATTATTCTTACCACTATGACAACTACTACTGATGGGAACTGATACACTTTTATAAAATTGCAAATGGAGAAATGGTAACTTGAATTTATTCCCTCAACTAGATGTATGGAACAAGTAAGCAAAATCTGTCTTAATTTGCTCTTTGCAGTTAGAATAGTAAAAAGAATGTCATTTTTTACTACAGGAAAGCACAGACTCAAAGGGATTAGAAACAGGAGTCTCACTGTTAATTTTTGAAACAGCATATCTGTAGCACCTTGGTGAGCCACAAGGAAGGTCTGCTTGGAAATATTTTTATTTGGTGGGACTGAGGAAGGGAAAGTATTGTAACATGGTAACTCCATGTCAGAATGGGAAGGATGGAATTAGTTTAATTGAAGGACACAAGGCAGGATTGTCAACAGGCATTGTAGTACACCCATGTTCACAGCAGGATTCTCACTATAGCCAAAAGATGGAAGTAAACCAAGTGATGGATGAATCGATAAACAAAATGTGGCTTACCTACATACATATGTACATATATATGTATATATACACACACACACATAACTATAAATACACACATGACAAAATATAATTCAGCCTTAAACATGAAGAAAATTGTGATATATGCTACAATATGAATGGACCTTGAAGACTTTCGGTTTAAGTGAAATAAGTCAGTCACAAAAGGACAAATATTATATAATTCCACCTATAGGAGTTATCTAGAGTAGTTGAATTCATAAGAAATTCGTAAAGAAGTAGAATGGTGGTTTCTAAGGGCTGGAGGGAAGAGGTAATGGTTAGGTGGTATTTCATAGGTCTAGTTTCAGTTGGGAAAGATGAAAAATATCCAGACGTGGCTGGCAGTATGTTGCACAACAATGTAAATATGCTTAATGCCACAGAACTGTAAACCTAAAAATGGTTAAAATAGTAAATGTTATGTTACGTATATTTACTGCAGTAAAGAAAAATGCTGTTCTAAAGGTTCTTCGGTGGTAAATCTCAAAATGGAAAATAGGTTTTCTTTAGAACGAAAATAGTAGCTAAGAAAATCTGTAATTACAATCTGTGTGAAAGATCTTCCAGCTAACATACTTGAAGTATATGTGTTCCGAGACATTTGTTTTTCATGATTCTCAGTATACACACAAAAAGCCTTTAAGTTTTAATTACCATATATAAACACACAGAATGTTATAATAAATATTTTTGAAAGTGAAACGTTTGAATCTATGACAATGTTTTCCCTTACTGAAATGTGACATGGAGCATTGCCACTGTGCACTGAGATTGGCCATTGCTCACTTTTAATACCTTTTAGATTAAATCCTCTGCATTGAGTCAGTGGGTTTCCATGTCTCACGTCTTGTCTTCGGCTCCTCCTGTAAGTGCAGAAATACATAAAAGTGACTGAGAATTATCACTGCCAATTACACCACTCTTAAAACACTGTAATTTTAAACGTTGCATCCTTTTTATTGCTAAGCTTTCATAAAAATTTTTAAAAAGAGTTCTGATTGATGTAGCTATCTCACATTTCTTATACAATTCATCAATAATGGGGGGGGGTTACTTATCTTTGCTTTTCAATCTGAGTAAGTTTTTCCATCTACATTCAGGATGGAATGGCTCTGAATCTCCTGTTGCATGCATATCCTGAGTAAATGCTACCTTCTCTAATTAATAGTGTAAATGTTTAGTTTAGAGAAATTCAGCCTAAATTTTCTAAATCTATAACCTCCAAAGTATAAACTCACTAGCATTTTCCTTTTTATAATAGTTTGTCTTAAATAAACATACTTGTTTCTTACAAAAGTCAATGTTTTCTGTTTCTAGATATATTAAAACTTTTCTGAAATAAGCAATAAAGATAAAAATAGGGACATTTAATAAAAAGTTAATTTCATTTACTAGAATAAGCATGTTGTCCCCAACTTTTTATTTTGAAAATTTCAAGTCTACAGAAAAGTTGAGATATGAGTAAAATGAATACTGGTATACCTAGATTCACAAATTGTTATATTTTGCCACATTAATTTCTTTCTCACATGTAAGTACATATCATGTATATATTATGGATCCACACCTATGAAAGCCTTTAGAAAATAAGTTACAGACACAATAATGCTTCACCTGTAAGTGCTTTAGTATGTATTTTTCAACAAGTAATCTTTCAACATAACAATATAATTATCATCCTAAATATATTGATATTTAACAACATAATCTAATGCATATTCTATATTAAAATTTCTCTAGTTCCCAAAATCTCTTTTATGGATTTCTTTTAAGTTAACCAGTTTCCAATCAAGGTTCATCCTTTGCATTTAGTGTTATGTATTGTTATCTTAAAGCATTTCGACATTTTAGTTACATTAAGCCAGATGCGGTGGCTCACGTCTGTAATCCCAGCACTTTAGGAGGCCAAGGCGGGCGGATCACGAGGTCAGAAGTTCAAGACCAGCCTGGCCAACATAGTAAAACCCCGTCTCTACAAAAAATACAAAAATTAGCCGGGCATGGTGGTGCATGCCTGTAGTCCCAGCTACTTGGGATTCTGAGGCAGGAGAATCGCTTGAACCCAGGAGGCAGAGGTTGTGGTGAGCCGAGATCATGCCACTGCACTCCAACCTGGGCCACAGGGTGAGACTCCATCTCAAAAAAAAAAAAATAGTTACATTGTTTGCAAACTGGTCATTATTTAAATAAAAGTTTTAAGTTGTATTAAATTATTTAATTTCGTGAGTTTCAGATGCACTAAGTACCTTACTTTCAGTGGTATTACACAGTCTAAGAAATCGAAGTGGAGCAACTGAAATCATCTGAGCAAGGCATCAAACATTGTTAAAAGTCAGAAGAAGGTGACTCTTTAAATATTGTGAATACCAGCCTAAATTGATTGCTTACTATCAATACGTGACTGAGCATATCACTTAATTGGGTTAAATGCTAAGTCTTTCTTAATACTTTTAAAGATAAATAAAAATATTCAGCAAGAACAGAAATATTAAAAGTACACAGTGGTTATTAAACTTACAAAGAAAAATTAATCTCAAAGTCATTGATAGTGAAAAAAGCTCATTTTCTAGCTAAAGAAAACATTACTTCATGTACACAACAGACTTTATAAATCTACTTATGGTAGAATAGGTATAAAATTTTGTACCACTTAGGTATTCCTTTTCCAAAGTCCCGTGACCCTTACCAATTGTATATTTCTGTACACACACAAACACACAACAGTGAAAGTGTTAGTCACTTTTCTCTCAGGAAATATGATTAATATGGCACTGTACTCTAGAATAGCTCCCATATCGAGTTTTTACTGCATAACATTTGCTATATTGAAGTCCAGCATTATTTTACTATAGTCAACTTCTAAATATATATTATATGAGCATCATGAGAGCGTTTTCAGCCATCTAGGCAAGCAATATCATTCACAATGGCTAAATTTATTGTCCTGTGATCAACACTATATAACGGTTTACTCATGTATACAAACTCTCAAGCTGGGCAATCTCAATTTACAATATCACATAGCTTCTAGACATTCAAATATAGAAAAAAACACTGTTATGGCTTGGCTTAAATCATGAGATCAGCAAGGCAGCCATCTGAGCCTTTTTTATGTATAGATTCCTTCCACGGTACTCACATAGCATCACAGAAACATGCTCGTAGGCAGAGTAGTATTGTATTGCATGTAGGATTTGGAATTTGGTTCAAGTTTCCCATGTTTCATACACAATAGTAAATTCTTTTCGATAAACAATGAAATCTTTTATAGAAAAGGTATTTATTTGAAAATTGATCTGATTATCTCGTCTTAAAATAAAGTTTCTAACTACTTGTCTGAATCCAGAACAAATAATGTTAGGGACTATACAGCAATATTTGATACAAAACCACAAATATTTAAGATATTTGAGAATGAAAATGGAAAAAAAATGCTTTTATTGTTTACTATAGTTTTTTTTGTTTGTTTGTTTGTTTTTGAGACAGAGTTTCACTCTTATTGCCCGGGCAGGAGTGCAGTGGTGCAATCTCGGCTCACTGTAACCTCTGCCTCTTGGGTTCAAGTGACTCTCCTGTCTCAGCCTCCTGAGTAGTTGGGATTACAGGCATGAGCCACCATGCCCGGCTAATTTTGTATTTTTAGTAGAGACGGGGTTTCACCATGTTGGCCAGGCCGGTCTCCAACTCCGTCATGACCTCAGGCAATCTGCCTGCCTTGGCCTCCCAAAGTGCTGGGATTACAGGTGTGAGCCACCATGCCCAGCATGTTTACTATAGTTTTTTAAAAAAGGGAGACTATTGAGCCAATGATATTTAACAACTTCATTATGTCAAAGTATGGATTCCACCAATTTCCAAGTATAACTGTATTTCTCTATTTGTATACAAATAAAACAGTTTTTTGCTTTTTATTTCTATGAAATCCTCAAAGTGATCTTTGTGTTTTGCTTAGAGTGGCATCAGCACAAAACTAGGTAAATTAACACTATTAAAGAAAATAAATGTGGAAAAATACTTCAAATCCATTACCTTCAAAGGAAAATCAAAAATTCATATGGGAATTTACAAAATAGTTAATTCATTCACCAATATGTTTTGCATTTACTGTAAGTATAGGCTTAACTAAGTTAGGACATAATTTGGAGAATGTAAATACTGTAGATATTTTTAGTGAAACTTCCAATATGCTAGTCAAAGATAAATATGGGTAGCCTCAGGCATATTTTGTACATATGTAGCATTTTCTGGCTTTTCAAGATAGAATTAAAGCACTGCTGGAGATAATCAAGATGGCCTCCCCCCATCTTTTTTTTTTTTTTTTTTTAAAGACAGAGTCTCATTCTATCTCCCAGGCAGGAGTGCAGTGGCGTGATCTCAGCTCACTGCAATCTCCACCCCCCAGGTTCAAATGATTCTCCTGCCTCAGCCTCCCAAGTATCTGGTATTATAGATGCCTGCCACCATGCCTGGGCTAATTTTTTTTTTCCATTTTCAGTAGAGATGGGGTTTGCCATGTTGGCTAGGCTGGTCTCAAACTCCTGACCTCAAGTGATCTGCCTGCCTTGGCTTCCCAAAGTGCTGGGATTATAGGCGTGAGCAACTGCACCCAGCCAAGACAACTCTTTAAATAGCTACTACTTTCCTTCTCAACCCATTATTCATGGTTTAATATCAGACATGATATTGTAAATGCAAAGAACTGTATGATAGACTCATTACTTTATTAAAAAAGTATGATTAAAATTGTAATTTGTGGCGGTAGAATGACAATGTAGAATCTATATTTAAGCACACATCTTAGAAAGGATACTTGGGGTTGTAATAGGTGGGAAAATATGCAAACAAATGAGCTAGTGCATATTGGGCAGCAACTTCTAAAATGTAAAAAAGTATCTCTAGTATGCAATGACAGTCTATATACAGTATGGAATTTTACTTGAGAAATATTATTTGTTACATAAAAATGCTTATTGGTCAAAACCAGTCTTTGCAGAGAAGGAGTACTGATGTCCACTTCCCTTACATTATATAATAACTGATATACCTATACAACTATGGTAAAAGTCCACTTACAGTCCCCATATCCCTTTCTTCCTTGGAAAGTATAGTGCTTCAGCTTCCTTCAGCACTAAATCTGCTTAATAAATTGAAGATTATATTGCAGGTGCTAGAGAGGAAAATTTTCAGAGCATCTTACCAAGTAAAGAGTATTGCCTTACAAAGAATTATGGTAATTTAACATATCACTACTATCATATTTGGCAGTGAAAAACAAATATGGTTGAAAAAATACCAACAGTGGCCACAAAAATCACTTCTTATGTGAGATTACATTTGAAATTTGCCTCCCTCACACTGTCTGTCCAGGTTGAGGCCTCCAGCCCCATATTAAGATGAAAGATCAGAGTAATGATGTCTAGAAATTCTAGATAGACATCAAAAGAAGTCAGGGACCTCCTCACTAGCACCTAAATTAACATGGAGGAACACAGAGTCTTGGAACGCATCTACGAGACTCCTGTTTTGAAGAGTGAGAGTTCTCTTCCTATCTCATGCCATTAAGAATCTCAAATGATCCAGCCCAGGCCATCCCTTTCTACTCCAGATTCGTATTTCTAACTGCCTACTCAATATCCCTGTGTGAACATCTTATTGATACCATTAACGTAACATCCTCTTTCTCCCCACAAACCTGCTCCTTTCACAGTCTCTTCTTTCTCAGGAAGTGACATCTGTATAAATCCTAATGTTCAGTTCTGAGAACTTGGATCATTTTTGACTCCTCTATTTCTCTAACCTCCCACATCCAAATACATCAACAGATTCTGTGAGCTCTGTCAAGCATCAGATCATTTTTTTTTTGCCACCTCTACTTTTATTATCCCTCTACAAGCCACCATTATAACTCACCTAGATGATGGCAGTAGCCTCCTGTCATGCAGCTTCTGCCACCCCTTCCCCTCTACCTCCAACTTCTTCCTACACCAGGTCTTCAAAGTAAGCCAAATCCAACCAGTGATCTTTTGAAACCAAAGCCAAACACTATCATTCACATGTTCAAAACTCCTCAGCTGTTTTCCATTTCACTTTAAATAAAAACTTTTCAATTACTTACAAAGTCTGACATTGTGTGGCATTCTGACCTCATTTCTTCCTATCATTCCTTTTTCTCATTACAGCGCAGCCTCATTAGCTTTAGAGCTGTTTCTTGAACAATCCTGGCATCCTCCAGTATTAGAGATTTTTGATCCCTCTTCCTGGAATGTTACTCTGCTCGATAATGTCTTGGTGCATTCCACATCAAGTCCTTGCTCACACAGTATATCTGCAGTAAGGCCCTTTTTGACACCCATTTAACTTCACAACCTCCTGCTTACCACATATCATACCTACTTTCTCTGCCCTTTTTAAATTCACAGATTGTGTTATTATTTGATATACCAGGGGTTTTCCTTATTTGTTTATTATCGATCTTTTCTCTTTAGAATGCATTATTCCTGAAGACAGAGGTTTTTGTCTTTTTTCCTGTTATACGCCTAGCTTCTAAAACAATGCCTAGAAAATATATTTCCAGTGAAAATATTTGTTGAACTAATGAGTAAGAGGATCAGAATACTTTTAATACACAAAAGCACTAAGGTTGTTATAATCTGTTAAGGTCCTCAAAGAAAGGTAGAGAATAGAAGCCATAAAGCACCATCACCCTAGTGCTTTACTTGAAAGATCACTCATGCTCGTGGCTGCTACTATTTGCTCCCTCTGCTAACCCTAATTTTCAAAGGTTTTAGCCCCATCACCATCATGACCCATGTCACTCACTGTATAACTGAAAATAGCTATGACCTTGGCTGACTCTGAATTCTCCATATTCCTTTTCAATTTCTCTACTCATGGTTCCTTCCAATTTGGTACAAGTTGATGCAGTTTCCCGCCTAGGTTTCCACTTGGATAAAAAGTACCCTGCCTCAGACTGCCTTTCTTTCTTAACCCAACCAGTAATCACGCAGTCACCACTCAAAGGTTAAAGCGTGGTCATCAAGGTTCTGAAAGCAAATCTCAAGGTATCCATGCTGAAATAATACTCTTGTAGCTTGAACTGGAACCAGTATTATAAGATAATTATATTATATCCTTGTTTACAAGATAATTAAGCAATGTAGAGAAATCCTAGGAAGGTGGGTTTTAAGGATACACTAAAGCATATAAAATAAAAAGCACGGCCAGGAGCGGTGGCTCACGCCTGTAATCCCAACACTTTGGGAGGCCGAGGCGGGTGGATCACAAAGTCAGGAGTTCAAGGCCAGCCTGGCCAAGATGGTGAAACCCTGTCACTACTAAAAATACAAAAATAAGCTGGACATGGTGGCGGGTGCCTGTAATCCCAGCTACTCGGGAGGCTGAGGCAGAGAACTGCTTGAACCCGGGAGGCGGAGGTTGCAGTGAGACAAGATCGCGCCACTGCACTCCAGCCTTGGCGACAGAAGTGAGACTCTGTCTCAAAAATAAATAAACAAATAATAAATAAAATATAAAAGACATAAATTAGATGATGCAAAAAATGAAAAAAGCTAAATGCTACTTGAAATATTTGATGGGTCCTAGAGGAGTAGGTGTTACAGAGGAGCTCTGAAGGGAGAAAGGACTCTTTCCAAAGTACTGTACTCTGGACTTGCCATATCTGTGAGAATCTCAAGTTATAACGCATTACCATTTTCTTCATTCAAATACTATGTGTGGTGCTAAACACAGCTTCTACTTTTAATGTCATTTAAAGAAACAGCAATAGAGCTAATTCTAAAGATGTGAAACACTTCTGTATTGTCTGGTGTCATACATTTGGATGTTGAACTGTTTAGTGCTCACCGTTTCCCAGTTGGGTAGAATCTGGAGCAGGAATGGCCATCCCAGGCGCAATAAGGGTCCCGTGCCAGGCAGCAGTCAGCACAGGCTGTACCATAGATGTGGCAGCGATGCAGAGACACTTGGGAAACCCCTTCATTGGAACTCACATACAACTGTTGCTATTAAAGGAAAATGATGATTTATTTCAGATGTGGAAGTTAAAAGAAGACTTTCAGCAGGAACACATTATAATATATGCTCACAAACCCTTGGATTCATTTTGGAACCGACTAAAAACATGAAGCAAAGCACAGAAGGGTATAAAGCCAAAACAAATAGAATTTTCCTACGTTAATATGCCTATAACATTACCACTTTCCTGTTAAAAAAGAAAAGCTCAAAGCACCATATAGAATGGTAATGTGTTTTAGACATTGGGATTCATTGTTCTCTCAGATTTGAGCTAATATATTACAGATTTAAGTTATGAATTTTTTTTCTTTGAATGCAGTGTCTTAGCAAAGCACAAGGAAGCATTCTTATTTTTTAAGTGTGGCCACACATTACTTTGTAAATTTGAGAAAGTCTGGTTTAAAATAAAGGGCATTTTAAGTTTACAAGGAAAAAATGGTAAATAGTGAGCATTGGATGAAATAAAAAAGAACATTTTGGTCACATGCCTTTGAAAGTAGCATGTTACTCATTAAAACTACTTAAAAATAATTATTTAGAATAATATCAGTATTTATATTTATACATGTGTTAAAATTCTGCTTGATCCAGTGATCATCATCATCCTAACAATCTCATGAATGAAAATTGCATCCTCTTTCAATTGTAGGATGTCTACTGCTTCTAATGGTTTGATTTCTTTAGCTGGGCATAATATGGTTCTAATGAGTTGAAGGAATGAGTCTCTTAATTGACACTCCTTACTTTCCAAAGGACTGATATAACTCAAGTTAGCACAGAATCTGTAAGCTGAAACTTGAATAGATGTGGATGTATGGGTGTGTGTGTACTCCTCCATGTACACATACACATACATGCACATACATACACATTTAAAGATTAAATCTCTGGAGACACCATGTGTCTACCAGGCCCTGAAGCTCTGGAACCAGACTTCCTAGATTCAAATCTCAGCTCAGCTACAAATTTGCTGTGCAACTTTTCTGAATCACAGCTTCCTCATTAGTAAAATTAGGATAACATAACACTTACCATATGGAGTTTTTGTAAGAAATAAATGTTGTAAAGGTTTCCTCCACATAAAATGCTTGGAATAGTTTCTGGCTCATAGCTTGCTCAATGAATGTTAATTAATGGTAAAAAGTACGGTAAAATATCAATTAAACTATCAATATATGTTTTTAACTCTAATCAGTTATTTGAATCACCTCTCACTCTATTACATCTAATAATTTTATTCGTATCAATTGACTTTTCAGAAATTTTGCTGAAATTGACTGGTCTCCAGTTGAAACATTCAAACTACAAGAAAACAACTGCATGTTTTGACAATAACCATTTGTCCAGAAACATTTGAAATAAATGTTTATTGAATAAATTAGTAAGTAATACAGTAAATTTATCAGCTTCATTAAAATACTTTAAGGATACTAGTATATTTGAGTGTAGGACACAGATAGTTTCATTCTAGATAATATAATTTTTATTAGTCCTACTATTTTCTGTTACATGGAGTAGAAGAACAAATTAAAAAAATAAGAGAGCATAAAATGGATAATAAAATGAGAAACACTGAGAAAGTTATTTAAATACACACAAGATGGCATTAACAATTTGTAGTCCTCTCGCACTGAAAAAATGATGCAGTATGCAGTTGTACAAATGATTTCCAAAAAGTCAAATAATTATCCTTGCCTTGAATCTCACTGTTTTAATGAGACATTTTAAATTATCTACAATTTAAGATGTTGAAGACAGATGTAATACGTAACTACAGTTAAAACTTGCATACAGGATTACTATGCCACACAAATGACTTTGTGTTCATTTTGAATCTTGCCCTGATACTTTCTCTTTCCATTAACTACTGTAAACAAAGGGCTTCCCTGCTGACTTCAAAGACAATTCTGACTTGAGAGCCGCTCCCTAGGACATTAGACAAAATGACGAATGGCTTCTCGTTACTTGGGAAAATGTTTGTTATGTACCATACAAACATTTTTACAGATGAGATCGTTAGCTCCATTGTACCTTATTTATTTTCCCTAATAAAATTCAGTGATGTGAAAAGAGTGTAAGACTGACCACAAAATACTACCTTCATCTCTAACAAACCAAATATGGTGAAGAGCTCCAGAATTATGTAATCAGTTGTGCTAACACATAAAACCTTTATTATGTATTCCAAAAAAAATAGGTCTCAGGCTTTTACACAGACAGCATTTACTGAGGACCCACTTTATTCTAGGTAATTTATATAAATTAACTTGTTTGTGAGAATAGCATTACCTTACAAATGTAGAAACTTAGGTCAGTGAAGTTACTTGATTTGTTCGTACATTATGGTCAGATAGGGATACAAATGCATGTCAAGCCTATTTGGAAGCCTACTCCATTCTGACTATATTACTCTGTACCTTAAAAATTTTTTCAAAAATAATACCTTTTGGGAATGGAGAGGTACATGGTTTGCTCATGTATATAATGGAATTGTACTTTTTATTTCCATGATCATTGTATATTTGCATGTGTAGGGACAGATCAGACAATTAATTTGAGGATTTCAATTACAGTCAAATATTTCTTTTCCAATTCCTGAACCCTTAGATTTGAGACTTTTTTTTTTTTTTGACATGTTTAAATCCTAGGAAATAATATGTCCTTTAAAATAAGCATAAAAGAATGCACTGCGTATTTCAAATATGTGACAACAGCAGAAACTTAAGAGAGGATTGATGACTCATTCCAAGCCTCTAACAATGTTGTGACGTTATAGAATAGCCCAAACTTTATGCTAAATTCTTCTCAGAAAGATTATTTTTATTTTAGTTGGCTTCACACACCGTAATATTTGAGAAAATCGGATATACAAAATGTTGGAACATCTTGCTGTATATATGTTCTGCTCTGACAAACTTTTATACAAAAATAAACCTATTCAGTCTTTCACTAATAACTAGTAAGTTCTACAACAAAATTAAAGGTGACTTTGTGGTATACTTTTAGTGGTATTATTTATTTTGTTAATATGAGAACTAATTATTCAGAAGTTATAAAATATAATGTCTCATAATAAAATATTTTAATAAGCAAAGAGCATAAAATAGCTTAGTTTTTACCTTTTTAGATGAAATTTTCATTGTCGTTATAGGAGCATGATTCTAAAATATTAGAAAACAACATGTTAGTTGCTCAAATATTCCTTAAAAGGATTTTACATTCAGATTTTTTTCTATTAAATCTCAAGAAGAAATCATTTTTCTTTATATACACATCTACTTTAAAAGTACTTGTCATATATAGCACATTTGCATATACTTGTCTATAAAGTACACTTTCTCTTTGGAAACTAAGCATAGAGTTGTTGTTATACCTAAACTAAAGTTTGAGACCAAGCCTGGCCGACATGGTAAAACCCCATCTCTTACTAAATACAAAAATTAGCCAGGCATGGTGGTGGGCCCTGTAATCCCAGCTACGTCGGGAAGCTGAGGCAGGAGAATTGCTTGAACCGGAGTCGGAGGTGCCGTGAGCGAGATTGCCCCACTGCACTCCAGCCTGGGCAACAAGAGCAAAACTCTATCTCAAAAAAAAAAAAAAAAAAAAAAAGTAGAATAAAACACATGTATCGATATAGGGACATAGAACAAAAAATGAAAATCCGAAAGGAAATTTTTGGAATATTCAATACAATGAATAATTCAGAATCGGATCCATGGACTCAGGTGGAGGAAGACGTGGAATGGTACACCACCTAATTCCTCTGCAACACAAGCACTCTGCATAAGACACTATTGTTCACCTGCCAGCTGTTTTGGAACGGATTAATATATTAGGCTGAACTATACTAGTTACTACTCATTGTTGCAAACAAAAAATATTGTTAGAAAAGTTTCTCTTTTGATAAATGCTGAATGAAAAGAACCTGAAATTTTCTGAAATAGTAATGTGCTTGCCAAAGTATTCATAACTTCTTAGAAATTATCCGTTACTTTTAATGATAAAAATTAGACTTCTGGCGGGGTGCAGTGGCTCATGCCTGTAATCCCAGCACTTTGGAGGCTAAGGTGGGCGGATCACCTGAGTCAGGAGTTCAAGACCAGCCTGCCAAAATGGTGAAAACCCTGTCTCCTACTACAAAATTAACTGAGTGTGATGGCACATGCCTGAATCCTGTAATCCATTTACTCAGGAGGCTAAGGCAGGAGAATCGCTGAACCCAGCAGGTGGGAGGATGCAGTGAGCCAAGACTGTGGCATGGCACTCCGAGCCGTTGCGGTAACACGAGTGAAACCCATTTCAAAAAAAAAAAAAACAAAAAAACCAAATTAGACTTCTGGTAAAGTGATTAAGAGCCATGAAAAAAAAAAAAAAAACTCAGGTGGGAACAAGCTCTCAAAATCAAGTGTACCCCAGTTAAAAAAAAAAAAAAAGAAAAAAATATTTGCCAACATTTTAAAAGGGAAAACAGTGGTATCAAAAAAAAAAAAAAGAAAAAAATTTTGATCATCCCATATAAATACGTGCATGCACATGTAAAAAAAAAAAAAAAAAAAAAAATATACAAATGTTGCAACTTATAATCAGCTAGACAGTTACTAGTAGTTATACTTCCAATTCTAGTTAAGCTCAGGGAAACCAGACTTATTGCCAGAAAAAAAAAAAAAAAGAAAAAAAAGAAGAGATTATGGTCCTGCACTGTATAAAAACCAAGAAAAAAAAAAAAAAAAAAAAAACTGAATTTTCTGCAGTACATCAGTGTGACACTTAGCTAAGAAAACTTTTCAATTTAAATGCATTATTTCCTCACATGCTCATCACAGTATATCATAAAAAAAAAAAAAAATAAAAAAAACCTCAGAAATGTGACACAAACACCATGCTGAAGACAAAAAAAAAAAAAAATAAAAAAATCTCCCGACTTGGCCGTATCAATCACTGGCACACACAAAAAAAAAAAAAAACAAAAAAATTTTGGTGTCTCTTGAGCTGATGTCCCCACACGCATGAAAAAAAAAAAAAATAAAAAAATGAGAGTTTATTATTCAAGATGATAACACCAGCATAACTCATATGACAGACCATAAGTAGTTAGCACGTGATCAGAATAACTCATGTTTCTTTCTGAAAAAAAAAAAAAAAAAAAAAAGTCATGCTCACTTAATTTAACATTTCCTGATAATCAAAAAAAAAAAAAAAAGAAAAAAAAATGAAGTGCTGCTACATGACATTTTTGCTATCTTCAAAAAAAAAAAAAAATAAAAAAATTCATATTATTTTGGCAAGCCAAGCTGTCCCTACAGAAAAAAAAAAAAAAAAAAAAAAATTCTATATAATGTAATTTTGGTTAATCTAGTGAAAAAAAAAAAAAAAAAAAAAAAAAAAGCATGAAAAAAGCACTTGTCTGAATATCATTAACATCAAAAAAAAAAAAAAAAAAAAAAATGCCAATCACAAAGAACCTGTGCCAGTTAGTCTAGCATTAAAACTTGTAAATTTAATAATGTAGTAGGAAACTTGCCAGAGTTCCGCAAATTTTTAAAAAAAAAAAAAAAAAAAAAACTTTACATTTAAAATTTATTACCTAAATCTAACAGTGAAAAAAAAAAAAAACAAAAAAACTTATAAAGTCAATATTTTTGGTGACTGTGGGAATGTAAAAAAAAAAAAAAAAAAAAAATAAGTCTACTCAACTAAGCAAAGCAATTTGCTGGACTAAAAAAAAAAAAAAAAAAAAAATTCTAAAGTGCTACTTTTACTCAGTCATAGGCTGACTAAAAAAAAAAAAAATAAAAAAACCATTGTTTCTTAATTGGTTTAGTTGGAAATAGTGGTCTGCAGCAGGATTGATTCCATGCCAAACTTTCTTTGCAATTCTAATAGCTCCTCCGCTGAAAAAAAAAAAAAATAAAAAAAGCAGATAAAAAGCACCATGTGAACTACAGTGACTGATACTGTGAGCAGAGAAGGGCACGGCAGGACACCACAAATCCCCTCTCCTGGCTCACAGATAAAAAAAAAAAAAACAAAAAAAACCAGGTGAGATCTTACAGTACTGAACTTCCCTTGGGAAAAAAAAAAAAAATAAAAAAATTTTCTTTTTTCTTTTTTTATCCCAAATTCAAGGACAAAAAAAAAAAAAAAAAAAAAAATCAAGTTCTGATAGAACATGAAGTTCTGAGTGGTAAAAAAAAAAAAAAAAATAAAAAAAACTGAAGTGACATTTGAGTTAAAGGCAATAAAACAAGAAAAAAAAAAAAAATAAAAAAAGAAATTACTGGCTAAAAAAATATGAGAAAGCTTATCTAAAAAAAAAAAAAATAAAAAAATTTGGGTTTCAGTGGCTTGTGAAGCAAATGATAAAAGAAAAAAAAAAAAAAAAAAAAAAAGACCTTGACAACTAGAACTCATTTTTTAAAAATAATAAAAAAAAAAAAAATAAAAAAAGTGATGATAGCTTAAAAACAGAAAGAATCCTTTTATGAAAAAAAAAAAAAAAAAAAAAAAAAACACTTTGCAAAAATATTTGTTCTGTATTTCTTAA